GTATACTGAGACAGGTCTGTATGTATACTGAGACAGGTCTGTATGTATACTGAGACAGAGGTCTGTATGTATACTGAGACAGAAGTATGTATGTATACTGAGACAGAGGTCTGTATGTATTCTGAGACAGGTCTGTATGTATACTGAGACAGAAGTATGTATGTATACTGATACAGAGGTCTGTATGTATACTGAGACAGGTCTGTATGTATACTGAGACAGAGGTCTGTATGTATACTGAGACAGAAGTATGTATGTATACTGAGACAGAGGTCTGTATGTATACTGAGACAGGTATGTATGTATACTGAGACAGAAGTATGTATGTATACTGAGACAGAGGTCTGTATGTATACTGAGACAGGTCTGTATGTATACTGAGACAGGTCTGTATGTATACTGAGACAGGAGAGGTCTGTATGTATACTGAGACAGAAGTATGTATGTATACTGAGACAGAGGTCTGTATGTATTCTGAGACAGGTCTGTATGTATACTGAGACAGAAGTATGTATGTATACTGAGACAGAGGTCTGTATGTATACTGAGACAGGTCTGTATGTATACTGAGACAGAGGTCTGTATGTATACTGAGACAGGTCTGTATGTATACTGAGACAGGTCTGTATGTATACTGAGACAGAAGTATGTATGTATACTGAGACAGAGGTCTGTATGTATACTGAGACAGAAGTATGTATGTATACTGAGACAGAGGTCTGTATGTATACTGAGACAGAAGTATGTATGTATACTGAGACAGAGGTCTGTATGTATACTGAGACAGGTCTGTATGTATACTGAGACAGGTCTGTATGTATACTGAGACAGGTCTGTATGTATACTGAGACAGAGGTCTGTATGTATACTGAGACAGAAGTATGTATGTATACTGAGACAGAGGTCTGTATGTATACTGAGACAGAGGTCTGTATGTATACTGAGACAGGTCTGTATGTATACTGAGACAGGTCTGTATGTATACTGAGACAGAAGTATGTATGTATACTGAGACAGAGGTCTGTATGTATACTGAGACAGAGGTCTGTATGTATACTGAGACAGAGGTCTGTATGTATACTGAGACAGAAGTATGTATGTATACTGAGACAGGTATGTATGTATACTGAGACAGAAGTATGTATGTATACTGAGACAGAAGTATGTATGTATACTGAGACAGAAGTATGTATGTATACTGAGACAGGTCTGTATGTATACTGAGACAGAGGTCTGTATGTATACTGAGACAGAGGTCTGTATGTATTCTGAGACAGGTCTGTATGTATATTGAGACAGAAGTATGTATGTATACTGAGACAGAGGTCTGTATGTATACTGAGACAGGTCTGTATGTATACTGAGACAGGTCTGTATGTATACTGAGACAGGTCTGTATGTATACTGAGACAGAAGTATGTATACTGAGACAGGTCTGTATGTATACTGAGACAGAAGTATGTATGTATACTGAGACAGGTCTGTATGTATACTGAGACAGGTCTGTATGTATACTGAGACAGAGGTCTGTATGTATACTGAGACAGAGGTCTGTATGTATACTGAGACAGGTCTGTATGTATACTGAGACAGAGGTCTGTATGTATACTGAGACAGAGGTCTGTATGTATACTGAGACAGAGGTCTGTATGTATACTGAGACAGGTCTGTATGTATACTGAGACAGGTATGTATGTATACTGAGACAGAGGTCTGTATGTATACTGAGACAGGTCTGTATGTATACTGAGACAGGTCTGTATGTATACTGAGACAGAGGTCTGTATGTATACTGAGACAGAAGTATGTATGTATACTGAGACAGAGGTATGTATGTATTCTGAGACAGGTCTGTATGTATACTGAGACAGGTCTGTATGTATACTGAGACAAGTCTGTATGTATACTGAGACAGAGGTCTGTATGTATACTGAGACAGAAGTATGTATGTATACTGAGACAGAGGTCTGTATGTATACTGAGACAGGTCTGTATGTATACTGAGACAGGTCTGTATGTATACTGAGACAGAGGTCTGTATGTATACTGAGACAGGTCTGTATGTATACTGAGACAGAGGTCTGTATGTATACTGAGACAGGTATGTATGTATACTGAGACAGAGGTCTGTATGTATACTGAGACAGGTCTGTATGTATACTGAGACAGAGGTCTCTATGTATACTGAGACAGAGGTCTGTATGTATTCTGAGACAGGTCTGTATGTTTACTGAGACAGGTCTGTATGTATACTAAGACAAAGGTATGTATGTATACTGAGACAGAAGTATGTATGTATACTGAGACAGAAGTATGTATGTATACTGAGACAGAAGTATGTATACTGAGACAGGTCTGTATGTATACTGAGACAGAAGTATGTATACTGAGACAGAGGTCTGTATGTATACTGAGACAGAGGTCTGTATGTATACTGAGACAGAGGTCTGTATGTATACTGAGACAGGTCTGTATGTATACTGAGACAGAAGTATGTATGTATACTGAGACAGAGGTCTGTATGTATACTGAGACAGAAGTATGTATGTATACTGAGACAGAGGTCTGTATGTATACTGAGACAGAAGTATGTATGTATACTGAGACAGAGGTCTGTATGTATACTGAGACAGGAGAGGTCCATGTTTACAGATTGATGTCAGACCCGCTCGCTGTCACCCCGTTAACACGCCCTATAACCACACCAGACCCCCCCCCCCCTCCTCCTCCCTCCTCCCCCCCTCCCCCTCCTCCTCCCTCCTCCCCCTCCTCCTCCTCCCCCCCTCCCCCAGTCTGGCGGGCGGTGACATCCCGGATGAGACGCTCGGCGGCTCTCGCACATCTGCAGCGACACGAACCCAGAGGTGAAAACTCAAACACATCTGTTTTTATGAAGTTTGAAGAAAAGTTATTGTTTGTGTCACTAATAAAATCAGTTCAAAGTCTGGACTGCTCTTTTTAAAGTGCTGGTCCTTGACTGGTCTTTTCAAAGTGCTGGTCCTTGACTGGTCTTTTCAAAGTGCTGGTCCTTGACTGGTCTTTTCAAGGTGCTGGTCCTGGACTGGTCTTTTTAAAGTGCTGGTCCTGGACTGGTCTTTTCAAAGTGCTGGTCCTGGACTGGTCTTTTCAAAGTGCTGGTCCTGGACTGGTCTTTTCAAAGTGCTGGTCCTGGACTGGTCTTTTCAAAGTGCTGGTCCTGGACTGGTCTTTTCAAAGTGCTGGTCCTTGACTGGTCTTTTCAAAGTGCTGGTCCTTGACTGGTCTTTTCAAAGTGCTGGTCCTTGACTGGTCTTTTCAAGGTGCTGGTCCTGGACTGGTCTTTTTAAAGTGCTGGTCCTGGACTGGTCTTTTCAAAGTGCTGGTCCTGGACTGGTCTTTTCAAGATGCTGGTCCTGGACTGGTCTTTTCAAAGTGCTGGTCCTGGACTGGTCTTTTTAAAGTGCTGGTCCTGGACTGGTCTTTTCAAAGTGCTGGTCCTTGACTGGTTTTTTCAAAGTGCTGGTCCTGGACTGGTCTTTTCTTTTTTTTTTTTTTTTTTTTTTCTCAACTTTATTTATTGAACATTTTAACAATAATAGACATACAGCTTTTAGTAAAAAGGTGAAGAAGAAAATAGATAATATTGCCAAATGTCAACCCCACCCTCCCCCCACCCCCCACCCGGGCCAAAGAATAAAAATACAACAAACAAAAAAATACAAAAAAAAAAAAATAATAAATAAATAAATAAATAAATACAATAAGAACACAGACACACTCAAATACAAACACAAAGGGGAAAAATAGGAAGTGAATAAGCAAAATAAAAACTTACTCCCCCTGTTGCAATTTAATCCTCCTCCAGGTCATGAGGAAACGTCGTCGTAGAATTAATAAACTTAATAAAAGGATCCCAGGTTTCATAAAATGTTTTAACTGAGCCCCTTAGTGAGAACCTCAACTTCTCAAGCTTCAAATTGTACAGGACTTCTCGAACCCAACGACAATGTGAAGGGGGACGGGGAAGCTTCCAGTTGAGTAAAATCAGCCTTCGGGCCAGCAAGGTGGTAAATGCAAATACCCGCTTTCATTAAATTGGGCAAATTTGAGACAGTAAGGACCCCAAAAATGGCAGTAGCAGGATTAGGGGCAACTAGATGACCATATGCCCTAGACAGTATGTCAAAAATGTGTGCCCAAAATGCATCCAACTTTGAACATGCCCAAAACATATGCACATGATTGGCCGGAGAAAATTGGCACCTGCCACAAGCAGCGCTGGCAGAGGGATAAATGTGGGCCAATCTAGCAGGAGTATAGTGTACCTGAAATATTACCTTGCATTGAAGAAGTCTGTGCCGCGCACAGATAGATGATAAGTGGACAAGAGAGAGGGCAGAATTCCACTCCTGTTCAGTTATTGTCAAATTAAGGCTATCTTCCCATGCATTTTTGATTGCATTGAGAGATGTAGAAGTGGTGGACCAAATTGACCTATACAGAACTGAAATACATCCTTTAATAAATGGAGACACGGAAAGAAGAGAGTCAAGAAGAGTTTCTGGGGGGCGGTTTGGAAAATGAGGAAAAAGTTTTTTAACAAAATCCCGAACTTGAAAAAATCGGAAAAGATGATGCCTTGGGAGTTTATATTTGACAGAAAGCTGTTCAAATGATGAAAATATACCATCAACATACAAGTCATTCAGCGACCAAATTCCACTATTATGCCATATTTTAAAGGCATGATCCAACCTGGATGGTTCAAATGCACAATTCCTAAATACAGAGGTTAAGGCGGTGGAAGTTGAAAGGCCAAGCTGTTTCCTCACTTGGCTCCAAATCTTTAAAGATATGGATACAACTGGGCAGATAGTTAAACGCGGCAACGGGAGTTGTGAACATAGAATTGAGCGCAAAGAAAACTGAGAAGACTTTTTCTCCAATTTAACCCAGCTTGGAGCAGAATCATCATCTTTTGTCATCCAGAACAAAAGCTTCTGGATATTTGCAGCCCAATAGTAGTATCTGAAATTTGGGAGGGCAAATCCACCCCTGTCTTTGGGGAACTGTAGAATGGACTTGCGTATTCGTACAGGTTTTCCAGCCCAAAGAAACTTTGAAATAGCACTGTCCAGTTTGTCAAAAAAAGACTTATTAAGGAAGACGGGGAGGTGTTGGAATAGGTATAAATACCTAGGCAGAACCACCATTTTAACGAGGCTAATACGACCTGCAAGTGATATAGGTAAACAAGACCAGCGGACAAAATCCCTCTCAGTCCTATCCATCAAAGGTACAAGGTTTTCACTGTAAAGGCCAGAAAGAGATTGGGTGACATGAATACCCAAGTATCGAAAGCTGCTGCTTGACCACCGAAATGGCATTGAGGAAGGAGAGAGAGCCTTAGAAAGATCATTAATCGGCAAAAGCTCGCTTTTCTGATAATTAAGTTTGTAACCAGATACACTGCCGTATTCTTGTAAAATGTTAAGGATTACCGGGAACGACTTTAAAGGATCGGAAACATAGAGGAGGAGGTCATCTGCATACAATGAGACCTTGTGAACAGAGTCTAGTCTGGTTATTCCTTTAAAAGCTTCCTCCGAACGCAGCCAGAGAGCCAGTGGTTCAATTACCAAAATAAATAATAAGGGGGAAAGAGGACAACCCTGTCTAGTGCCACGATGTAAAGGGAATTGTGAGGAAAGTATATCATTGGTACGGACTGAGGCTTTTGGAGAGGAGTAAAGAAGTTTCACCCAGTTGATAAAAGCTACTCCACATCCAAACCTGGACAACACATTGTACAAAAAACACCATTCGACCCTGTCAAAGGCTTTTTCAGCGTCGAGAGAGACAACGACTTCTGGCACCAAAGAACTAGGAGAGGTAATGATATTAAAAAGACGTCTTGTGTTGCATGACGATTGCCTGTCTGACATGAATCCAGTTTGGTCCAAGTCAATGATGGATGGTAGAATTTTCTGTAAACGTGAAGCAAGAATTTTTGACAAAATTTTAAAATCAACATTCAGGAGTGAAATGGGTCTATAACTACTACAAAGCAAAGGATCTTTGTCCTTTTTAAGAAGCAGGGAGATTGTGGCCTCAGAAAGTGTGTCTGGAAGATGACCAAAGGAAAAAGCCTCATTGTACATGTCCTTCAAGTGGGGACTAAGCTGGGTAGAGAAGGCCTTATAATAGTCAGCTGTGAAACCATCAGGCCCAGGGGACTTTCCACCCTGAAGAGAGCCAATCGCCTCCTGTACCTCTGTAATTGTAACGGGTGCACCAAGTGATTCTGCAGACTCTTCCTGAATACGAGGAAAATGTATAGCATCCAGAATAACATCAGCACTGTGTGGAGAGTCCGAAGCGTAAAGGGAGGAATAAAATTCCACAAACATATTATTTATATCTTTCAAGTCCGTAAGAGTTTCACCCGAAGATGATTTTATAGCCGGGATAAGTCTCGAGGACGCCTCTGCGCGCGCTTGGTGCGAAAGGAGCTTTCCAGCCTTGTCACCCGACTCATAGAAACGCTGCCTAGACCTCAGTAACAAAGTTCTGGTCTCAGTAGTGGAGATTAGATCAAACTCCGTTTGAAGGGAAAGGCGTTCCTTATAAAGATCAGGGTCCGGATTGGCAGCATAACGCTGGTCAATGTCTTTAATACTGTCCAAAAGAGCGTCAGTACGAGCAGAATCAGTTTTCCTCTTATTAGAAATAAAAGAAATAAGTTGACCTCGAATGTAAGCTTTGGAGGCCTCCCATAGACTGCTTCGACGAGTATCCTGAAGGTCATTCAATTCAAAAAACAAAGCAATCTGTGATTCAAGAATTCAAAATAGGCATCTTCTGCTAAAAATACAGAATTAAACCTCCACCGTCTGGGGCGACTAAAATGGAGAGGAAGGGACAAGTCAAGGGAAACTGGAGCATGATCCGATATTGCAATGCTGTGATAGTCAGAAGAGTTTACTTTAGAAATTAGTCTCATATCCAGTAAGAAGAAATCAATTCGGGAGTATGTGCGATGCACGTGGGAGAAAAATGAAAATGTTTTGGTTCCTGGAGATCCATGTCTCCAAGGGTCAACAAGACCACATTGTTGGGTAAAGGTGAGCAAGGTCCTTGCTGCTTTTGTAAGAGGAACGGAGGTGTTCGAGGATCGATCAAGCGCAGGGTCCTGAACAAGGTTAAAGTCACCACCCATAACAATGTAATAATTTTGAATATCAGGAAAAGACGAAAAAAGTTTTGTTATAAAAGAACTATCATCCCAATTAGGGCCATATACACAGACAAATAAAAAAAGGGAACTCCAAAATCCTCCCAGAAACCATTGAAAATCTACCGTTTGGATCAAAAACAGTTTTATCCGCTATAAAGGGAAGACCCTTGCGAATAATTATAGCTGCGCCTCTTGCTCTGCCGTTAAATGTAGAGTGAAAAACTTCCCCAACCCAAGGTTTCTTAAAACGTACAACCTCACTGTTAAGCATATGGGATTCCTGAATAAAATATATATCACCTTTAAGTCGATTCAAATGAGACATTACCCGCCCCAGTTTAGTTGCAGTCCCCACCCCCTTCACATTCCAAGATATCAATCTTAGTAAATTAGTGGAAGTCATACCTCAGTTACCATTAACAAGGCTCAGATGTAATGAAAAATTGGAAACCTGGGAAAACACAGAGAGGCCGACGTGTAGTCGACTGTTGTAAGGGAGAGAGAGAAACCAATTTAAAAAAACTGACCTGGAGAAAGAGAAACAAAAAATAAATGATTGCAAACATACTCACACACATATACATATACACCCCAACACACCCAGTGGCCCAAACTTCCGCCCAAACGTATGAAATTGCGTGTCCATTGCACAAAGGTGATAAAACACCATTCTGTAAAGCTTCCATTCCTTCAAAGAGCACCAGTTCCCCACCCCAAAAAAAAAACTCACAGTAAGGGTCAGAGAATAAGAAAAGCAAACACTTCTCAGTCCAATGTTTTGTTGTTTAAATTAAAAAATAATAATAATAATAATAAATAAATAAAAACAAACACACTTGGGAATAAGTATATGAACTGAGGTAGTAGAAATATTTGTTTAAAGCAACATAAAAGAAAACCGTATTTAAGTAACTTATAGTCCTCATTTCTATCACAAATAAACATGTTCAAATAACAAGGGTCCAGAAACAGCATGTAGGAAAAATATCCAACCAAAAAGACCAAAAAGTTAAACATTACAAAAAATACTAAAACAAAGAACAATAACTTGTACAAAACTATGAAACATGGGACTTAAACCACAGCACGCCGCCATGAAGTAGCAATAACCACAAAAAATAGAATACAACTATTCAGTCTCACGTTCTGCAGCTCTTTGACGACGAGAGATAAAGTCAGTGGCTTCTTTCACGGAGGAGAGATGTTTCTTCGAGCCGTCCTCAAGCACAACAAATAGCTTAGCAGGGTACCTCAAAGCAGGTCTGCATCCCAGCTCGTAGAGTGACTTCATGACGTCTCTGTACCGGTTGCGTTGCTCCATAACCTCCGGAATACAATCCTCAAATATGTGGATGGCAGAGTCCTTATACTTTAGCTTGCCTCGTAGTTTCCGGGACGCTCGCACAACCAGCTCCCGCGTTTCGAAGTGGTGGAAGCATATCACGACAGCCCGTGGTCGACCCTGGGGCCCTGGCTTAGCAGCTAGCGTGCGATGCGCCCTATCCAGCCTCGGGGGTGACGGAAGAGTATCAGCACCAAGCACATCAACAAGTAGTTGGGAGAAAAAGGTTGTTGGCTTGACGCCCTCAACATCCTCCGGTAGCCCGACGATTCTGATGTTGTTACGACGACTCCTGCTTTCAAGATCCATTACTTTAGCCTTGAGCTTAGCATTGTCACCGACCAGCTCAGATAGCTTAGCCTGGACATCCGTAACATCAGTGGTAGTATCGTCTGCAGACCGTTCCAAACCAGAAATGCGTGTGGCATGGTCGTCAACAGTGGCCTGGACAGCGTTCAGCTTCGTCTCGTATTTGGAATAAGTGTCTTTAATCTCCGCCAGTAACTCCGCTTTTGTCTCGGCTAGCTTATCAGTTAGCACCGTGGTAAATGCGCTAATGTTAGCCGCCTCCTCTCGTTCTCGGTCTCTCTTCGTTGGCTTAGACATCGTTATTCTGGGCGAAATGATAGCGGTCCAACTCAAAATCAGAAGTGGTTACTCTAAGGCAACGTTAATGAATAAAAGACCGAGTAGAAGTACTAAAGTCAGGGGAACGCAAAAACCCACGCCTGGCTCTGTTACGCCATCTTGGAAAACTCCCTGGACTGGTCTTTTCAAAGTGCTGGTCCTGGACTGGTCTTTTCAAAGTGCTGGTCCTGGACTGGTCTTTTCAAAGTGCTGGTCCTGGACTGGTCTTTTCAAAGTGTTGGTCCTGGACTGGTCTTTTCAAAGTGCTGGTCCTGGACTGGTCTTTTCAAAGGGCTGGTCCTGGACTGGTCTTTTCAAAGTGCTGGTCCTGGACTGGTCTTTTCAAAGTGTTGGTCCTGGACTGGTCTTTTCAAAGTGCTGGTCCTGGACTGGTCTTTTCAAAGGGCTGGTCCTGGACTGGTCTTTTCAAAGTGCTGGTCCTGGACTGGTCTTTTCAAAGGGCTGGTCCTGGACTGGTCTTTTCAAAGTGCTGGTCCTGGACTGGTCTTTTCAAAGTGCTGGTCCTGGACTGGTCTTTTCAAAGTGCTGGTCCTGGACTGGTCTTTTCAAAGTGCTGGTCCTGGACTGGTCTTTTCAAAGTGCTGGTCCTGGACTGGTCTTTTTAATGTGCTGGTCCTGGACTGGTCTTTTCAAAGTGCTGGTCCTGGACTGGTCTTTTCAAAGTGCTGGTCCTGGACTGGTCTTTTCAAAGTGCTGGTCCTGGACTGGTCTTTTCAAGGTGCTGGTCCTGGACTGCTCTTTTCAAAGTGCTGGTCCTGGACTGCTCTTTTCAAAGTGCTGGTCCTGGACTGGTCTTTTCAAAGTGCTGGTCCTGCACTGGTCTTTTCAAAGTGCTGGTCCTGGACTGCTCTTTTCAAAGTGCTGGTCCTGGACTGGTCTTTTCAAAGTGCTGGTCCTGGACTGCTCTTTTCAAAGTGCTGGTCCTGGACTGGTCTTTTCAAAGTGCTGGTCCTGGACTGCTCTTTTCAAAGTGCTGGTCCTGGACTGGTCTTTTCAAGGTGCTGGTCCTGGACTGGTCTTTTCAAAGTGCTGGTCCTGGACTGGTCTTTTCAAAGTGCTGGTCCTGGACTGGTCTTTTCAAAGTGTTGGTCCTGGACTGGTCTTTTCAAAGTGCTGGTCCTGGACTGGTCTTTTCAAAGTGTTGGTCCTGGACTGGTCTTTTCAAAGGGCTGGTCCTGGACTGGTCTTTTCAAAGTGCTGGTCCTGGACTGGTCTTTTCAAAGTGCTGGTCCTGGACTGGTCTTTTCAAAGTGCTGGTCCTGGACTGGTCTTTTCAAAGTGCTGGTCCTGGACTGGTCTTTTCAAAGTGCTGGTCCTGGACTGGTCTTTTTAATGTGCTGGTCCTGGACTGGTCTTTTCAAAGTGCTGGTCCTGGACTGGTCTTTTCAAAGTGCTGGTCCTGGACTGGTCTTTTCAAAGTGCTGGTCCTGGACTGGTCTTTTTAAAGTGTTGGTCCTGGACTGGTCTTTTCAAAGTGCTGGTCCTGGACTGGTCTTTTCAAAGTGCTGGTCCTGGACTGGTCTTTTCAAAGTGCTGGTCCTGGACTGGTCTTTTCAAAGTGCTGGTCCTGGACTGGTCTTTTCAAAGTGCTGGTCCTGGACTGGTCTTTTCAAAGTGTTGGTCCTGGACTGGTCTTTTCAAAGTGCTGGTCCTGGACTGGTCTTTTCAAAGTGTTGGTCCTGGACTGGTCTTTTCAAAGGGCTGGTCCTGGACTGGTCTTTTCAAAGTGCTGGTCCTGGACTGGTCTTTTCAAAGTGCTGGTCCTGGACTGGTCTTTTCAAAGTGCTGGTCCTGGACTGGTCTTTTCAAAGTGCTGGTCCTGGACTGGTCTTTTCAAAGTGCTGGTCCTGGACTGGTCTTTTTAATGTGCTGGTCCTGGACTGGTCTTTTCAAAGTGCTGGTCCTGGACTGGTCTTTTCAAAGTGCTGGTCCTGGACTGGTCTTTTCAAAGTGCTGGTCCTGGACTGGTCTTTTTAAAGTGTTGGTCCTGGACTGGTCTTTTCAAAGTGCTGGTCCTGGACTGGTCTTTTCAAAGTGCTGGTCCTGGACTGGTCTTTTCAAAGGGCTGGTCCTGGACTGGTCTTTTCAAAGTGCTGGTCCTGGACCGGTCTTTTCAAAGTGCTGGTCCTGGACTGGTCTTTTCAAAGTGCTGGTCCTGGACCGGTCTTTTCAAAGTGCTGGTCCTGGACTGGTCTTTTCAAAGTGCTGGTCCTGGACTGGTCTTTTCAAAGTGCTGGTCCTGGACTGGTTGTTTCTATCTATTTTACTTTAGCACTTTGAGTTAAGCCTTGAGTACAGACTGCGCTACACAGATAAACCGTCCCCAGAGCCACATGGTGCGTGTCCGTCTCTTGTCCCTCGTCTCTTTAGCTCCTGATCCTGTAGCTTTGGCTCCTGGTTGTATTTCTGTGTAACATCAAACATGACAGTCTGTAAACACAGCAAACATGGCTCACATTTATTGAAATCAGTTTTAAAGGTGAAATCTGAAAAAACACACGTCGAGAGCCTCCGCGTTGCACGTTCTCCTTGTTTATTATTTTCTCGGGGCTAATAAATCCGACGCCGCCGCGGAATTAATGGACGTAGTGAACTTTAAGGCGCGCTGTTGTGGAGGTTCTGCCAGAATAACAATCATATGCATTTATGCAAGTGAAGTGAAGAGTGTGTGATTCTGGGAAAGGTTAGCATTAGCATGACATTAGCATAGCATTAGCATACAGTGACAGACAGGAGCCCAGGACTTTGTGCCCAAATCCTCCGGTGTCCATCAGTCACCGCCCTAATATCCTGCTCCTCCTTCATTAAGCACGGCCCAGAACGGTCCAGAACCATCCGCAGACGTTTGGGCACCTCTGTGTTCGCAGGTTTTTACTTTTTTTACTTTCAGAACTGATTTTTACTGAATGTGTGATTTTTAATGGAAGCATCAGAAACTTTATTGATCCTGTAGAAACACAGGTGTCCAGCAGCAGTTACTGACAATGAGTAATAGTAATGTCACAGCACTTTAGCTCAGAGCAGCAGGAGGAGGTACAGCAGCAGGAGGTGCAGCAGCAGGAGGAGGTGCAGCAGGAGGAGGTGCAGCAAGAGGAGGTGCAGCAGCAGGAGGTGCAGCAGGAGGAGGAGGTGCAGCAGCAGGAGGAGGTGCAGCAGCAGGAGGAGGTGCAGCAGGAGGAGGTGCAGCAGCAGGAGGAGGTGCAGCAGCAGGAGGAGGTGCAGCAGCAGGAGGAGGTGCAGCAGCAGGAGGAGGTGCAGCAGGAGGAGGTGCAGCAGGAGGTGCAGCGCTGGTGACGAGCTGCTTCCTCTGGTCGATGAGTGTTTTGTTTGGAGCATTTTCTCTGCTCTGGTTCAGAGTGAAATTCTGAATGCTACACTGCATTTCTCCAATGGATCAAAATGCAGTGTAGCATTTTGATCTGCTTAGTTTGGACTGTGGAGGAGGAGGAGGACATTGAGGCTGCATGGACCATCTTCTCCTCCTCCACTGACGACGCAGCTGTAGCTGTAGCTCTGGTCTCTGGTCTCTGTGGTCTCTGGTCTGTGGTCTCTGGTCTCTCTGGTCTCTGGTCTGTGGTCTCTGGTCTCTGGTCTCTGGCCTCTGGTCTCTGGTCTCTCTGGTCTCTGGTCTCTGGTCTCTCTGGTCTCTGGTCTCTCTGGTCTCTGGTCTCTGGTCTGTGGTCTCTGGTCTGTGGTCTCTGGTCTCTGGTCTGTGGTCTCTGGTCTCTCTGGTCTCTGGTCTCTCTGGTCTCTGGTCTCTGGTCTCTCTGGTCTGTGGTCTCTCTGGTCTCTGGTCTGTGGTCTCTGGCCTCTGGTCTCTGGTCTCTCTGGTCTCTGGTCTCTGGTCTCTGGTCTCTGGTCTCTCTGGTCTCTGGTCTCTGGTCTCTGGTCTGTGGTCTCTGGTCTCTCTGGTCTCTGGTCTCTCTGGTCTCTGGTCTCTGGTCTCTGGTCTCTGGTCTGTGGTCTCTGGTCTCTCTGGTCTCTGGTCTCTGGTCTCTCTGGTCTCTGGTCTCTCTGGTCTCTGGTCTCTGGTCTCTCTGGTCTCTGGTCTGTGGTCTCTGGTCTCTGGCCTCTGGTCTCTGGTCTCTCTGGTCTCTGGTCTCTGGTCTCTGGTCTCTGGTCTCTGTGTGGTCTCTGGTCTCTCTGGTTTCTGGTCTCTGGTCTCTCTGGTCTCTGGTCTCTCTGGTCTCTGGTCTCTGGTCTCTCTGGTCTCTGGTCTCTCTGGTCTCTGGTCTCTGGTCTCTCTGGTCTCTGGTCTGTGGTCTCTCTGGTTTCTGGTCTCTCTGGTCTCTGGTCTCTGGTCTCTGGTCTCTGCTTCTGTCCTGTACCAGCCGCAGAGGCCAGAACCAGGGACTGGGAGGAGTTTGGAGGATCTGTTTGGAGCAGGACTGTCTCAGTCTGAGATGGTGGAGAAACGCTCAGGGCCTCAGGAACACTGGGCTTTTAGTTCAGCGCTGGAAGGAACACTTTCTGAATAAAATCTCTAACTTCAGCAAAATAAAGAAGTAAAAAGTACTTTATTGTCAGGTTCAGTCAAACACAGTCGTACGTAAACATCTGTACCATAAACATCTGTACCATAAACATCTGTACCATAAACATCTGTACCATAAACAGAGTCTAACGAGTGTGTGCTGTGACTTCCACCTCCTCTGCATCGCTGTCCCTCGCCGCCGCAGCAGCCGCAGCAGCCGCATCAGCCATCTCAGATCTGCGGGCGTGTTGTTTACCCTCTGACGGTGTGAGCACGTGTGTGCGTCTGTTTGACCCCCAGGCGTTCAGTCACTCGACGCACAACCATCCACCCACGGGCCCCTCCTGCTTCTGCTATCCCCACAGCTCCTCACACACACAAATATACATACACACACAGAGACACACAAACAGATATACTTACTGTACACACACCGAGACACACACACATACACACAGGCCCCTCCCTGCCTCTGCAATCCCCACTACTCCCGCCTGAGCCTGGGAACCCAAAAGCCCTTTAGGCAAGTCCTGGGGTGCCTCTCCCTCCCTCCCCACACACACACACACACACACACACACACACACACACACACACACACACACACACACACACACACACACACACACACACTGTAAACACACACACACACACACATCTCGGAGGTTGGTTTTCTAATGAGCGACACCACCGCTGCTGGCGAGTTGCCGCGGCGACAGTGGCTCCAGAGAATCAAATAAATAAATAAATAAATAAAAGACTAAACAAGGAAGAGGGGAGCGGGACTCACTGCGGACTGACCTGTGTGTGTGTGGGGGGCGTGGGGGGCGGCGGGGGGAGGTTCTGGGCGCAGTGGGGGACAGCGCCATGATCAGAGCCCGATGCACGAGCGGCGCCGAGCTGCAGCGGCGCGGGAAAAACCCACTGATTAAACGCCACAGCCGCCGCGCTAAAGAAAAGACGGGGCCTTTTATCATTTTTTTCGGCGTTTTTTCGCGATACGGCTGTTTGTTTGTCAGTCTCCTCTGTTTTCCTTTGTCCTCGGAGGAGACGGTGAGGGATTTGAGCCGTAATTAGCTGAAACGCCACATCGCTAGCAGAGAAAAGTTAAATTTCTCAACTTTCTGAACCGCACTTTTCTCTTTCTCTTTCTTTTCCCCCGCTCAAACCAGTATTCACTCTGACACTCGGCTTCACTTCCAAGATCAAAAACCTCGCTCGGCGGTGGAAATATATTTTATTTGAGTCTTTGGAGTATGTGGACGGGCGAAACCGCGCTGCCGAACTCGCAAAGGCCTATTAACAACTTGTGCAAACTTCAAATTGTGCGACAGGAGCGAGCGGGGAAGCAAAGCGGATCCGGTTACGAGGATGTGTGTGTGTGTGTGTGTGTGTGTGTGTGTGTGTGTGTGTGTGTGTGTGTGTGCGTGTGTGCGTGTGTGCGTGTGTGCGTGTGTGCGTGCGTGCGTGCGTGCGTGTGTGTGTGTATGTGCATGTGTGCATGTGTGTGTGCGTGTACATGTGTGTGTGTGTCTTGCGGAGTGACAGGCGGGTAATTAGCTTCTGACCACACTGTGTTTACGTTGCGCTGTCCGTTTCCGCGGCTCAGAAGCAAAGTGAGAAATTCAACTTTCTCAAACATGTTACTCTCTGAAAAACCTGGGTCTCTGTTAAAAAAAGAAAAAAAAGAAAGAAAAGTAGTCCGACTGGTGTCTTGCTGGTCACTGGAAGTAAAACTGGTCTTTTGGATTTTTTCATCTGATTGTGAGAATTTATGTTTTTGTGTTTAATGCTTGAGGCTGTGAAAATATTCCAGTGGTCATGAATACATGTGTTACTTAAACAGATATCTCCAAACAGACTGAGTCCTGGATCTACAGCCTCAGTCCTGGGTCTACAGCCTCAGTCCTGGGTCTACAGCCTCAGTCCTGGGTCTACAGCCTCAGTCCTGGGTCTACAGCCTCGGTCCTGGGTCTACAGCCTCAGTCCTGGGTCTACAGCCTCCATTTCTGGGTCGGGGGGGTGGCCAGAGATGCCACCCAGTACACAGAGCACCAGCCCCTCACTGATCCTCCTGCAGGTGGTGAGTCCACAGGAGCTGAGATCTTTCAGTGGGAGCTTCAGGCAAAGTGGGGTTAAGTGTCTTGCCCAAGGACACAACGACAGTAGTCATCAGTGAGAGTCGTGAAGTAGGTCTTATGGTGGGCTTGAACCCACGACCTTCAGGCTTAAAGGCCAATGCTCTACCAACTGAGCTACTGTCGCCCTAGAAACATAATAAAAAGATAAAAATAAACAGTTTTGAGCCGTGATTATGGATGTTGGTCTCTTTGTGTTTTTTTTATTTATTGCATTTCCTGTGTTTGAAGGGTTTGATTCTCTGATCTGTTGTTGGCGAATCGACAAGAATTGAGTTTTTAAAGTGGTGTCAAAAAACTGTAATTCGTCTGGATACGACTTAAAATGGTTTGTTTTTGATAATACTGTATTTGTGCGTCAGAGGTCTCCCATCACCGCACTAACCAGATCCTGTCCTGCTGCGCTTCAGAGGTCTGACAGAGGCTTTGAGAGAGTAGAAGTGTCCTCTCTGAAGCAAACAGCCTGTTGTGTTTGTGCTGGTCCCAGGAGCGAGGGTCAGAGGTGCGAGTCCGAGGTGTGGAGAGCTTGGCCTGGCCCCACACGGTCCAGTCCAGACCAGTCCAGACCAGTCCAGACCGGGCCCTCCCCCCGGCTGCCCCTGTGATTCTGGGACTGTCCTGGCACCAGCGGCGGGTCAGAAGCCGCTGCCCAGACCAAGTGCCCTGTGGCTGGGGTCTGAGCCAGAGGAGGAGAGGCTGGAGCCAGGGACCAGGACGAGCCAGGACCAGGACGAGCTGTGGGAGACAGAGCTTTTCATCATGCTACAACATTCTATTCCATGTTTTTTTAATTTTTTTATGGCATTTTAAGAATAACTTTTACCCCCAGTCCCTCCCACAATTTCCCCGATACACAAAATACATTTATAATAAAAAAAATAATAAAAACAAGAGAGAAAAACATAATTACAAATAAATAATGATAATAAAATTAAAATAAATCTTAAAACTATGGATGAAAACATAGAGGCACTGGTCCAAAAGGAGCAGAGACCAAAGTTTATGAATGTGTGAGAACGAGGAGACCCAGGACTGAGGCTGTAGACCCAGGACTGAGGCTGTAGACCCAGGACTGAGGCTGTAGACCCAGGACTGAGGCTGTAGACCCAGGACTGAGGCTGTAGACCCAGGACTGAGGCTGTAGACCCAGGACTGAGGCTGTAGACCCAGGACTGAGGCTGTAGACCCAGGACTGAGGCTGTAGACCCAGGACCCAGCCCCTGGTCTGTGTTTGTGGACTCTTTCCAAAGTTCCGTTGTTTCGGTCTGAGCCGTGGTCTTTGGCGTCTCTCTCCTTTCACTGCTGGAGAACGATAAAGGACAGAAGCATGTCCTTGAATAATGCGACATCACTTCAGCTTTTTACCAGAGTTTAATCATACTGAAAACTGCACTCATGGTATCCACACACTGATGGTATCCACACACTGATGGTATCCACACACTGATGGTATCCACACACTGATGGTATCCACACACTGATGGTATCCACACACTGATGGTATCTGAAAAACTGAAACATGTATTTACATTTACAAAAATAAATGTGCAAATGTTTAGACAAAAGAGATAGATCAGAGAGAGAGAGAGTGACCAGAGAGAGACCAGAGAGAGACCAGAGAGAGACCAGAGAGAGACCAGAGAGAGACCAGAAAGAGACCAGAGAGAGAGACCAGAGAGAGA